GAAGCGAACGTATTCAAGAAGTAATTTGCACCAAAACAATACAAGTAAGTCACTGTTTTACATCAAATCAAACGCAATGAATCCCAATTAATAAATTTATTAAAACCATAGAGCTACAAGAGAATGGATATCGATAGGAATCATTACAAACCGAGTGTCGAGACTTCGACGTCTTAGAAAATGAACAAACAAAATAGAGAATGTAACAAGCGAATAAAAAAATATTCGGGAAGTAACTTGCACCAAAGCAGGACAAGTAAGTCACTATTTTACACTGAATCAAATAAAACTGACTAATGATATATCTGCTACAACCAAAGCTACAAGAATTCGGACATTGATAGGAATTACTGAAAACCGAACGTTAAACATTTTTAGGAACATCTCGGAAACAAACGGTAGTGCTGAACGCTCGTTTTCATTATTGAACCGAATAAGAAAGTATTCAAGAAATAATTTGTACCAAAAGCAAGACAGGTAAGTCACTGATTTACATTGAATAAAATATAATCGACTAAATTAATACGGTTTCTAAAATGAAAGCTACAAAATGAACCTCAGTTATTAATCATTTTTAATTTTTCAGGAAAACTTAATTGATACGCAAATAAATGGCAAATGCCGAAAATAAACAAAAAATGGGATAGAATACAATACTATTTATTTGACACGCAGACGTTTTATTGAGAGAGTGTTTGCTTGTACGATTGTTCGAATGTCGTAAAGTAATATTAGGTGAAGACATGCTCTGGTAGGCCAATCGTCGAAAACGTTGATAAAATCATGGAAATCGTCGAGTCAGACCGACATGCGAGCACTTATTCTATTGCCTAGGAACTAAAGGTTAGCCAGAAAACCGTTTGGAACCATTTGCATAAAGCTGGTCTCAATAAGAAGCTCGATGCGTGGGTGCCACACGAATTGACGCAAAAGAACCTTTTGGGGCGAATTGATGTCTGTGATTTTTTGTTGAAGCGTAACGAAATCAACCCATTTTTTAAGAGGATGGTGACAGGGGATAAAAAATGGGTCACATACGAGAACAACACGCGAAGAAGATCGTGGTCCAACAGCGGTGAGCCAGCCCAAACGATCGCCAAGCCCGGATTAACGATCAAGAAGGTTTTACTGTGTGTTTGGTGAGATTGAAAGGGAATCCTCCACTATGAGCTGCTTTTATCGGACCAATCACTCAATTCGGACATATACTGTTAACAACTGACCAGATTGAAGCAGGCGATCGACGAGAAGCGTCCAGAATTGGACAATAGGAAGGGTGTTGTTTTCCATCAAGACAACGCCAGACCGCACACATCTTTAACAACGCGCCAGAAGATCCGAGAGCTTGGATGGGACGTTATATCGAACCCACCGTATAGTCCAGACCTGGCACCAAGCGATTATCACCTTTTCAAACATTTGCAAAATCTTCTTGATGGTAAAAAACTGGCTTCAAGAGAGGCCTGTGAAAATGAGCTGGTCAAGTTTTTTACCACTAGGGACGAGGATTTCTTCAATCGCGGAATTATGAAATTGCCTTCAAAATGGACAAAAGTTATCAAACAAAACGGCGCACATTTAATCTAAAGTTGCAAATTCTAACTTTCTTAATTTCATCTTCGAAATAAAGACAAAAAAGTCTCAGAACTTTTTACTTCACCTAATAATACTGAACTATAGCTGTAGCTTGACAATAGAGTAGGGCACCGTGTACGAAAGAAAGAGAAATTACAAAGTTGGATCAGATTAGAGACACAGAGATTAAACACTCGAATTAAGGAGATCAAATTGACGCTTGAACTGTAACACGCGTAATGCGAGGAACGTATAGTCGAGAAAAGGGCAACAGCATTTCTCGCAAAACAGCAGGGCTGCTATCCTTCACACTTTTAACAAAAGAGCTCCTAATGACACGCCGTAAATCTAGTAACGTATAATCGAGGAAAAGATATAGCAACTCCCGTACAATAGTGTGGTTGCTGTCCCTTGCACCTTTTCAACAAAGGAGGTCATAATGGTACCCTGTAAACCCATTAACACGTTGGATGTCACGGAGGTCACCCGTGACCGGCACTCAACTTGGCAGTGACTTTACCTTTTTCTTTATAAATCCTACCTACAGTCATTTCTTTTAATTTTTTGCTAATACTAAACTAATTTCTCTAACGTTTAAATAAAAATGAATTCGTTGCGTTCAATATTAAAAATGTTATACAGTTTTCAAATGTGTACCAATATTTATGAACCAAAAGCTCATGCGTTCTTTTTGTTATTTCAGGTTGTATATTTTTTTGAGGCCAATGAAGATACTTTATATACAAGTGTTATATATCATTTTGTAGCTTTTGGAGAGTTATTTAATATTTACCTACTAGTTACAATTAATTTATTGATAAATAATAAATGTATATTTTAAAATAAAAGTCCTTCATTGAACTTTTTGTACCATTTTTGCTCTGTACGAACTGAGACGATCTCTTGTCCTCTCCCACTTCGCATATTTTCTTTGTCGCTTCAGTAGCTCTAAACTAACTCTCTTGCTTCCAGTAAGGACGTAAAAGTACTCGAATTTGGAAATTTTCCACCATTTTAATAAAACCAAAAAATAAATAAATAATCAATAAATTAATTAATTGTAACTAATACGTAAATAGGGTGTTCTTCAGGGTAACTGTTGGTATAATCGAAAAGAGAATGATTCTACAAGAAAATATGAATCGAAAATATAAAACGCAATATTTTCCTAAGAGGCTTTGTTTTTGAGATAATCGACTTTCAGTTTTCCCCAGGTACGTAGACACTTGATCGTGTCTCATTATAAAGGATCTCACTGCAGATCATTGTCTCGATTGTTTATGTTCATGAATACTTCCATTGTCACGACAATCTTGTTGTGGATCATTATCGCAGATCAAGTTTGTTTTTATAGTACTGAAAAGTTAAGAATACGTAATGAAATAGGATGTTAGACTAACCATACCTGTTGCTAATCTGATGCCAATCTGCGTACATTTTGCTAACAGGGCATAAACTTTATTATTACAGAAATCGTATTGAAAATGTTGCTCATTCTGCCTAACACATGATTCTGTTCCTCTAATTTTCCTATGAACGCTTGTTAACGTCCTGTCATCCTAATACATGAAAGATTGCAATAATTTTTTCTTTTAATTGCTCGCAACTCGTCATTTCTTCAGAACATATTAGAAGAATAGAAATTCAGAATTTCCTATGTAATTCAAATTATATTTATTGTATAGAATAAAATACAATTTTAAATTATACTTACTGTGCAGAATGAGAAATGCATGTAATAATAGATAAATCTCTTATTATTGATCTAGATTAATTGTATTTTTACAATAACTGTACAGAGTGGAAAATAGCAGTAGTAACAGAACACGTGTCATTTATAGTATAACTTAAATTATTTTCATTATGCAGAATGGAAAATGCATATAATAATAATAAACAAATTCCTCATAATTAATGTACATTAATTATCTAGAGAAACTAGCGAAACCCGTCGTTGAACTATGTGAATTCTAGCTTTAAATATATGCACGAGGATTACGGTAAGTATTTTTGCTCGTTGTTAGCCGAAGCGAGGAAGGGGCGATGCAACGCGGCGCAAGAAGAAAGACGAGCCGCAAAAGAAACAAGACCGCCGGGAGGAGGAAGAAGAAGAATGGCCAGGTTTAAAAATAGCCGCGTGCATTTTCAAATAAAAAGTGATAAGTAACCTGCGGGATAACGATTAAGCTGGACTGGGTGGCGAGAACGGGACGGAGGGGGAGCGCCGAGAGTGGGTAAAAAAACGAGAACGAGAGGCCGGGCCGCGGCCGGTGCACTGTTCGCCAAAAGGAAGAGAGTCCTCGCACAATTGTACGGGATGAGGATGATTCTTGGTCCAGCCAGGTGATCAAACCTGGCTTTACGATATTTCATTCATGTTGAATGCTTTAAGATTGATTATGAATTGTATTATAAATCTACAACGTTTTATAATGGTATAGAAATATACTTGGTATCCAACCAGATGATCAGATCTAGGTTTACTTATATTTAATTTTATGACATATATTATAAATGAACAATGTTTTATAATGCTGTAGAAAAGACTTTATAGTGTCCAACCAGAACCCATGATAATTAATTGTTTTTATATCATTTAAGATTGATTGTATTATGGATTTATAATGTTTTATAATGTCATAGGAAAAGACTCTATGGTGACCAACTAAGTGCATGGCTTTGTGATATTTAACTGACTCTATATGTATAATTAAAGATTGATTCTTTTCTTTTATTTAATAGTGCTATGGGCAATTAGTAAAAATGATGAGTGAAATTTATTTAGAATATATGTATTACAGATTTATGATATAGTTTCCAAATAAAGAAATGAGTTGAAGTCAAAAAATCACTTATTTTCTTATATTGTTCTTTGTCTAACAGCATATATAGATTTTTGTTTAAACTTGACTTGATTGGTTTCGCAGACCGCCAAGAGAACAGCGATGTTGTGAAGTAAATAAATAGGAATAGGATAACGAGAAGTAGAGGTATTCGAGGAATGAGGATGTGACGAAAGGAGGAATGAAACGACGAAGAAAATTGGCGGAAAACCCAAAAAAGTAGAGATGAAATAGATAATCGGAATGGAATAAGGAAATAGGAAAGAATTAAAGTGAGACAGATGGTGAAGGAAAGATGAAGAGCAGGAAATTATAGATAGAGAAGAAAGTAGGGCAGCAGATTTTTTAATTCCTTCATTAAACTTCTAATAATCGATATTACTACCTTAAA